AGAGAGTTGGGGGAGACGTTTGCTGAGGAAAGAGGTTTTCATTTCTTTGAGGCCAGTGCCACGACTGGTGAAAATGTCAACGAACTGTTTCACTGTCTGGCGGAACAAATCGTGAGGAAGAAAAGGCAGTCAGAAGGAGATGGTCGGATATCCTTATCATCCGAGAGACAGAGTAGAAACAATCGTAGGTCACAACGGTGTTTCTGATATAGAATTATAAGCTTACAGGCAATTTTTTCTATCACTGTATATATAGAGCTGAAAATAAGCTCTGTAATATTCCAATCATCCACAACTGGTGACAATGTTTGTCGGGTATTTGAGTCCCTGGCTTCGAGTTTTGTGCGCAAGAGTGATTTCCTCTGATTGTTTTGCGCATGCGTAGAGGATTGATGGGGGTGTGGTCAGTTCTAAGATGGCGAACTCGGCAGTTGTGGAGTTACGCGAGATGAATGTCGCTCATCCACAACTTGTGACAATGTTTGTCGGGTATTTGAGTCAAGTTTTGTGAGCAAGAGTGATTTCCTGATTGTTTTGCGCATGCGTAGCGGATTATTGGGGGGGTGTGGTCAGTTTTAATATGGCGAACTCGGCAGTTGTGGAGTTACGCGAGATGAATGTCGCTCGTCCGTCGGCTGAGGATCTGACAAAGGCCCTTAAAGGTGCTAGTGTTCAGAGGCTAGCGCTCGAGCTCGGCGTGCCGTGGGAAGATATAACCGTAGAGGACTTTGCGAAGAAATGGCTGGAGAGCGACCCTAACGCCAGCTGGGAGAGACTCGCTTCTGCCTTGGTGAAGATCGCTATGGACTCTCGCCTGCTGCTACTGCTCTAAAACCTACAGTTAACCCAGAGTCGGGCAACATCCTGATAAAGGTTGTTCTATGCGGCCCGGTCAGTGGGAAAACGACTCTAGTGTATCGGTTTACCACCGGTCGGAGTCGCGCGGGAATGACGCCAGCTACTATTGGCGCACAGTTCTTTAGGAAGGCAGTGAGCGTTAGTGGAGAGACAGTGGAACTTCAGATGTGGGACACGGGAGCATACCTTACAGCATTACACGGGTTGAACTCGTCAAAGCTGCTAACAGTGTACTTGACCAAGGCTCACGGAGTAGTTCTGGTGTATGACATCACTCACATGGAGTCTTTCCGTGATCTGCGAGACCGGGTCAAATACATACAAAAGTGTGTGCATGAAGAGACTGAGTTTGTGTTGATGGGGACCAAGAAAGACCTGGAGGCCGGGAGAGAAGTGTCCAGAGAGTTGGGGGAGACGTTTGCTGAGGAAAGAGGTTTTCATTTCTTTGAGGCCAGTGCCACGACTGGTGAAAATTTCAACGAACTGTTTCACTGTCTGGCGGAACAAATCGTGAGGAAGAAAAGGCAGTCGGAAGAAGACGGTCGGATATCCTTATCATCCGTGAGACAGAGTAGAAACAATCATAGGTCACAGTGTTTCTGATACAGGCATTTTTCTATCACTATTATAGAGCTGAAAATAAGCTCTGTAATTGGGCGAGCCCACCTAGTCGTGTCTTCGGCTCCAATTTTCTATCTATATTTTATTGGCGAGCGGGAGCGAGCCAACCTATATAGATAGTTGAGCGGGGTATCGATCGTCGTACGTCGTGTATGTGCGCATGCGCGGCTTTGTACGCGCTTCTTTTTATCCGAAACTAATTTCCAAATTAATTTTAATTTTCACACCCAGTGCCTCGCCATAATAATATGCGCTGATCGGTCTAGCCAGCGAGAGAACTATATATCCTCCGCTTCTTATTATACGACATACTGTGCGGAATTTTTCTCCATCCTCCGAATCCGCGGAGGATAGTGTTCTTCGTTGAAGAAAAACAGACAGAGAATCGTGTCTTCGGCTCGAATTTTCTATCTATGTATGCCCGGCCGTCGAAAGTCCTCACGACAGAGAGGCTCGTCTTTTTCAGGGATGATTACGAGATCGAGAGCGGGCAAGGCAACGCGGATACTGCTTCTGGTCCAAGAGGTAGACAGACAGAACGCCCGGCAGTCGAAAGTCCTCGCGACAGAGGCTCGTCTTTTCAGGGAGATCTTGAGCGGGCAAGGCAACGATACTGCTTCTGTTCCAAGAGGCAGACAGACAGTACGCCCTGGCCGTCGAAAGTCCTCACGACAGAGAGGCTTGTCTTTTCAGCGACGATCAAGAGATGGAGAGGGGGTGCAGGCACATTACCTTTCCGTTGCTACTTTCTTCTGGTCTAGTTTCACTAGCTACGTATGCGCAAGCTGCCTTACTCAACCTAATATGACAACACCATAATAACTTCTGTTTACTTGCTGAAACATTTTACCTGTAGGTACGTAGCTATATTATCGCTGAGTTCTCGCTCCGCTCGCCCAAGGAATGCCATGCATTTCCACTAGTATTCTGTGTTGGATCTACCCACGTGTACACCCCCCCACACGTATGTTTTTTAACGCAGAGTACGCATGCGCAGTAATCTTGTCGCATCGTCGCGTCCGCGACGACCCGCCCGAGGACTGGCTATAATAATCAGAGGCCACAGTAGTCCAGAAGCCAAAGTCGCTGCGTTGGTTGCCAACTCGTGCACCCACACAGCCATGACTAATGAGGGGAACTGTCCGCTCATAGTGGGCGTGTGCCTCGCCACAGCGGCAGGGCGAGGAAGCAACTTGCAGCACCTCGCGACCATGTCTCTCCCTCCCTCTCTCCTCTCTCGCCCTCTCACTGAGCTCCGACCTCTCGTTGCCTCCTCCCTGCCTCCCTCACTGGGCGACAGAGCCTTCTCTTTCCTGACCCAGCACGGCTGGGAGCTGCCAGCCACAAGCGAGACGGCGGCTTTCGCCAGTCAGGTATGCACGTCTGCTGCTCACAGCTCTCTTTACTAGTCCACCAGCCTCTCTCGGAAGAGAGCTACACTATGCAACCAATCATTATTATAATATACAGCATTACAAGTTTGCAAACAACAAACAGCCTCAGTCATTGCATTGGCCATACAGTCAAGTAATTGATGTCAGAATTAGAAAGGCAGAAAAAACTACAAATTAACAATTGTCCCTCGATGCGCAAGTAGTTGGAGAATAATATTCTGTTTCGTTTGGGTTTCAGCTGAAATCGACAAAAGTGTTTTTGATAATAATCATGTATTGTACTTAGGTGTTCAGAAGCCACACCCACTCCATTGTGATCCAGCTGTCTCGGACCAGACCTCGTATTGGCCTCGTTACCGAAGGACCTCCCCCCGTCCCCCTGGGGTTCATATCCTGTGAGGTGGGGATTCCCCTCCCGCATGTTCACGGAGAGATACAACACCAACTTCCCTCCCTCTACTCCGCCTTGGTTGCCACGGGTTACAGTCTCCTTGACAACAACGGGTGGCCAATCGGACGACACCAGGAGACGGAATTCTCATTAGCCGAAATTCTCTGTAACATGACTGTCCGAGTACGGCTTCACCTACTGCAACCTTTGACCTCCGATGTTTCCATGGTGACCACTCCGGTGAACTCCAAACTTGCCATCCTCCCTGGCCCCGCCCACTCGTTATCAGACTCCGCCCACAACGAGGTAGTCCAATTGCTCCGCCCGGTGGTCGAGGAAAGTGCTGACATGGCGGAATCTTCCCTGCTGGAGCAAAGTATGTCTTCGTACACCACTTCTGTCAGCATTGCTCCTGGTGAGTTGTAACTGAAATTGTAGCTGATGTTGAAATGTTTCCGCAAAGCATCAGAAACTCTCAGTCTAAGTTCGGAGTGCAATACCTGTAGTTTTTTCACGTCCATTGTGCTACCACAATGTCCATGTACAGCATTAGTCCACTGCTTGCATTAGTCCACCGCTTGCATTATTAGTCCACCGCTTGCATTAGTCCACCGCTTGCATTATTAGTCCACCGCTTGCATTAGTCCACTGCTTGCATTAGTCCACTGCTTGCATTAGTCCACTGCTTGCATTAGTCCACTGCTTGCATTAGTCCACCGCTTGCATTAGTCCACTGCTTGCATTAGTCCACCGCTTGCATTATTAGTCCACCGCTTGCATTAGTCCACTGCTTGCATTATTAGTCCACCGCTTGCATTAGCCCACTGCTTGCATTATTAGTCCACCGCTTGCATTAGCCCACTGCTTGCATTAGTCCACTGCTTGCATTATTAGTCCACCGCTTGCATTAGTCCACCGCTTGCATTATTAGTCCACCGCTTGCATTAGTCCACTGCTTGCATTAGTCCACTGCTTGCATTAGTCCACTGCTTGCATTAGTCCACTGCTTGCATTAGTCCACCGCTTGCATTAGTCCACTGCTTGCATTAGTCCACCGCTTGCATTATTAGTCCACCGCTTGCATTAGTCCACTGCTTGCATTATTAGTCCACCGCTTGCATTAGCCCACTGCTTGCATTAGTCCACTGCTTGCATTATTAGTCCACCGCTTGCATTAGTCCACCGCTTGCATTATTAGTCCACCGCTTGCATTAGTCCACTGCTTGCATTAGTCCACTGCTTGCATTAGTCCACTGCTTGCATTAGTCCACTGCTTGCATTAGTCCACCGCTTGCATTAGTCCACTGCTTGCATTAGTCCACCGCTTGCATTAGTCCACCGCTTGCATTAGTCCACTGCTTGCATTAGTCCACCGCTTGCATTAGTCCACCGCTTGCATTATTAGTCCACCGCTTGCATTATTAGTCCACCGCTTGCATTAGCCCACTGCTTGCATTAGTCCACCGCTTGCATTAGCCCACTGCTTGCATTAGCCCACCGCTTGCATTAGTCCACTGCTTGCATTAGCCCACCGCTTGCATTAGTCCACCGCTTGCATTAGTCCACCGCTTGCATTAGTCCACCGCTTGCATTAGTCCACCGCTTGCATTAGTCCACCGCTTGCATTAGTCCACCGCTTGCATTAGTCCACCGCTTGCATTAGTCCACCGCTTGCATTAGTCCACTGCTTGCATTAGTCCACCGCTTGCATTAGTCCACTGCTTGCATTAGCCCACTGCTTGCATTAGTCCACCGCTTGCATTAGTCCACCGCTTGCATTAGTCCACTGCTTGCATTAGTCCACCGCTTGCATTAGTCCACTGCTTGCATTAGTCCACTGCTTGCATTAGTCCACCGCTTGCATTAGTCCACTGCTTGCATTAGCCCACTGCTTGCATTAGTCCACCGCTTGCATTAGTCCACCACTTGCATTAGTCCACTGCTTGCATTAGTCCACCGCTTGCATTAGTCCACCGCTTGCATTAGTCCACCACTTGCATTAGTCCACTGCTTGCATTAGTCCACCGCTTGCATTAGTCCACTGCTTGCATTAGCCCACTGCTTGCATTAGTCCACCGCTTGCATTAGTCCACCGCTTGCATTAGTCCACTGCTTGCATTAGTCCACCGCTTGCATTAGTCCACTGCTTGCATTAGTCCACTGCTTGCATTAGTCCACCGCTTGCATTAGTCCACTGCTTGCATTAGCCCACTGCTTGCATTAGTCCACCGCTTGCATTAGTCCACCGCTTGCATTAGTCCACTGCTTGCATTAGTCCACTGCTTGCATTAGTCCACCGCTTGCATTAGTCCACTGCTTGCATTAGTCCACTGCTTGCATTAGTCCACCGCTTGCATTAGTCCACTGCTTGCATTAGCCCACTGCTTGCATTAGTCCACCGCTTGCATTAGTCCACTGCTTGCATTAGTCCACTGCTTGCATTAGTCCACTGCTTGCATTAGTCCACCGCTTGCATTAGTCCACCGCTTGCATTAGTCCACCACTTGCATTAGTCCACTGCTTGCATTAGTCCACCGCTTGCATTAGTCCACTGCTTGCATTAGTCCACTGCTTGCATTAGTCCACTGCTTGCATTAGTCCACCGCTTGCATTAGTCCACCGCTTGCATTAGTCCACCACTTGCATTAGCCCACTGCTTGCATTAGTCCACCGCTAATGTGTTTTTGTTTGTTCTGCTTTAAAGTGAAACTGCTGAATAAAGGGAAAGTTTCCTTTCAGAGAGGCTCTATCTCTGTCGTGTGCATCAAACTGCGGAAACGTTGCACTCACACTTAGTAGCCACTGTCAGATAATGTCATCTCTCTATCTCTCCTCGTTTGCAGGGGCTGCACCGTACGAGATCCTCCTCAGCTACGTCCACCGAGAGGCCTCCGATGAAGCCATGGCCCTGCGGGAAGCCCTACAGGTGGCTGGTTACCGGGTGTTCCTGGACGTGGAGTGTATCCGTGGCGGGAGCGACTGGCAAGATGTTCTAAATGATGCCGTCTCCAACTGCTCTGTCTTTGTTCCTCTCATCACTCAGCAGTACGGACAGGTAGAAAACACCATTTTCCATTTGTTGTGTATCTATAATATGTTTGACAAAATGCTGGAAATTTAGTTTCACTTTAGGTACGTCCATCCAGGCACACACACATGCTATTAAAATGTTTACTTTTGTATATACATCTGAGCAAAGTAGGGGATTAGGGGATTCGTTAGCTTTCTTGCTTGTAAAAAGCATCATAATTGACATTCAGGAGCTGTTTGTTTATAAGCAGCGTTGTTGAATACTGGGGTACCTATAATACCTGTACCATTCCCACCAATCAAATTTGTGGTGTATTGATCACATGACCCTCTCCCTCCCTCCAGACCCTGTGGACCAATCGGGAGGTGAAACTGGCCGATGTTCTGGGTAAATCCATAATCCCAGTCAACTTCCTCTCCAGCTGGCCGCCGCAGTGTCTCGCTATTCAGTTTGCCACCACACAGTTCGTGTCCTGGCCCCATTCCACGACCAGCCGGGAATGGAATGGGGACGCAGTCGCCAGGGTTGCCAAGGAGATAGTGGAGAGATACAACACGGAGGAGGGGAGAGGGGAGGAGGAAGGAGGGATGATTGCTGATGATGGAGTGTGTGTGGAGGAGGGAGAGAGAATGGAGCTAGGAGCAGAAGAGAGACGGAAATCGTTCACTCGAGCAGACACGAGGATAATAGTAGAGGATGTGGAGGAGGAGGAGGAGGAGGAGGAGGAGGAGGGGAGAGGGTTACTGTCACTCCCCCAGACACCGAGGCAGCAGCGGAGGTCGACCATCAAGAGCTATGCCTCCCTCCTCCCCTCCTCTCTCTCTCTTCAGTACCGCAAGTCAATCCAGGAGTCTCGCCTGGGGAAACCCCTAGTCGTAATCTCCTGCCACATCGCACAGCAGGAGTTTGCACGGAGCGTTGCCACAGACATGGAGGGGTGTGGTTTCGAGGCGTGGTGCTCTTGCGACATCCTCCACCTCCCCGTGGAGAACGCCTCGCCCATATTCCAGCTGCGAGCAAACGAAGCGGGTGTGGTCATCTTCCTCTTCTCGAAGGAGTTCACTGAAGACACATTCTGCGAGAACCAAGTGTACTACTGTGAACAGAGAAAGAGGATTATTCCTGTCGTCTATGAGCCAATCCAGCTGCCCCACTGGGTCTGTATGCTAATTGGTACCAGCCCCTTCATTTCCTGCCAATCATCCGGTCACAGACAGCAGCTGCTTGATCGTGTGGAAGAGGCACTCAACCCGCAGAAGCGAGAGGTCACCCTAGGTCAATGTTGAGGGAGAAGGCAGAAATTGCACGGCTGTGTAGCGAGGTTACCAAGCAACTGCCGAGTGGGCGGAGTCTCGTGTATATCTCCGGGGGAACGGGCTTTTACTCGGAGAAAGGAGAGGAGATTTGCCGTGAGCTGGGGGGTGCGGCTTGCGCAGGAATCAACCGTTGCCTTGGTGACCGGAGGGTTTTATGGAGTCGGAGAGACGGTTGGACGGAGTTTTGACAAGGAGAGGAGTGGGCGTGGCCAGGGATGTGGGGTGTGGCACCTGATTGCTGAGCGAGATAAGGAGGACCGGTCCTCTCAGACGAGGCAGAACAAGGACGGCACATTCCTTGCTCTGCCGTATGGAGAGACCATCTTTGCTGGTGAGGAAATGGCACCCTTCTTATATAGATGTTCTTTATCATCCCAAAATCAGGGGGAAAACTTTTTTATGCAAATAGAACATGGAAAAGTTATATACCAATTGGAGGTTCACTAGGAACTTTGAATCTTATGCCACCTAAACTTTTACGCCCACAACCCCCCCCCCCCCACACACACACACACCCTCACACACAGGTAGCAGTGTCCGTCAGCGAGAGATGGTCACACCTCACGTGGTGAAACTGTGTATTCTCATCGAGGGAGGGCCAGGAGCAGCGTTCGAAGCTCAGCAGTTCTACTGGAATGGGAATTACATCATCCCTGTCAGGGTCACGGGCGGAGCCGCCTCGGGGCTCTTTGACACTCCTCAGAACATCTTCCAGAGACTGCCAGCCATCGACGAATCCGATTGGTCGGTGCTAGGCAACAGCGAGGCGACCCCGAGCGAAGTCGCAGCAGCTGTAGTTCGGATCGTACGAACCCTGAACTTTGACGCAGCCGGAGCTGGTAGAGAGAGGGCAGAGCTGGGCGGAGTCATCAAGCGGAGTGAGACGCTCCCGCAGCAGACTCCGCCCAGCGGTCGCAAGAGAACGTTCAGTGATGGTCAGCGACTACAGCCAAAGTTGATGAGTGGCACTAGCAGCTTCAGCTGATGACTGATTCTTGTATCGCCACCTCGATCAGTTCCGCACACTGCTAGCTAATGAGCATTGTAGAATAATGACCATTTTGAAATTCAATCCTTTCTCTTTTTTACTAATTTGCACCAATTTTTGAAGAATAGACTAGTGACAAGACTTGTATAATATCTTTACATCTTTTCTGGATCACTTTTTATCATATGACGTAGTTTGTCAATTTGTTTGTGTCATTGATGATTGGTTGTACACATGATTTGATAACGTGACAGTGAACGAAGAAACCAATCATAATGTGGGTGTGGTCAATTGGGCATGGCTTAGTTCATGATCAGTCTGTGCTGTTGTCGTCAAGGCAACAGAGAAGAGCATCGTTTTCAAACGTCGGGAAGAGATACCTACAGAAATTCAGTGAATAGAGGAGTTAAACTGTGAATCAGGTGATTCGTGTGACCTACTGAGCTTGATTCCATATGGAGAGATCCGAGGGGAGACTGCAGTGACCTTTGACCTCCATGTGCAGCACTAGGTGAGCCTCCGAGGAGCAGTGGGCGTGGCAGGCTGGGCAGCGTTGCCTCGAAACCTGTCTCCTCAGGTAATTGACTGCCTTTACCTGCAGATAGTAGTTATGGCAACCAACAGACTCCGCCCAGTCAAATCTGTGGACCTCCTGTTGTAAACAAAGGTCAGAGATCAGATACTATATCTGAATACGGGGCCCATGAGACCTTCATGTGACAGGTGAGGGAAGAAAGAGAGGGGGAGGTGAAAGAGGGGCAGAACAGACAGTGTAGGAGAGGTTGTCTGTCCTCATTCCAGTCTCCCCAGTCCCTGGAATGGAATGAAGACTGCCGCTGAACTGAGCAAATCATAATGACATCATGGGAATGCGAGGGCTTGTGGTTGAGGCAAAAATTTCATGTCTGGGTCGATTGAAAAATGTATCCAATCTTCACTAGAGTACAGTGTATATAAGCCACTTTCAGCGCAAACTCCAAAAAGTGAAAAGCTGTGAAAATAGTGCCAAGTGGTAGTTAACGACTAATTACAGGGGCTTACTCATCTCTATGGGGATGAGTTGAATCATCTGCCTCATCAGCCATTATCTCTCTCCACCCTCTCCCACTCTCCTGGTAGTTAACCACATAGAACCTGATACACAGCAGAGGGAAAGGGTTAATTTAGTTCGCCAGGGGTTAAACACACCGGTCATATTCAGTGTTGTTAGGGTTAATCTTCTTGTGTTGTTTTTTCCGCATATGTTCCTTGAGTGTGTTTCTGTCTTTGAACAGCTTCTCGCAATAGAGGCACAGCAATCTTCAGTGAGAAGGAGGTTAAATATACATCAGTGTCAGTGTAAAGAGGGTTAAAATAAAACACGCTCAACAGATTCAGTGAGGAAAGAGTTAACTTACTTATCCAGTTTCTCTTGCAGAAGATCAAGAAACTCACTCACAAAAACTGTGGCACAAGGAAGTAAAAAGATAGCAAGGTATATATATACAAATTCGTGGTTCCAATGAAGAGAGAAAGAACAGACCAAGGTTGTTGGGCTGGCCCACACTGAATCCATGACTCTCCAGCATGTGACGAAGGAGGAGCGCCCGGTTGCCCATGACAACCAGACCACAAAACAAACACGACCTCTTGAACTCTGAGTCTTGTCTCTCGGACTGCTGCTGCTCCAACACCGCCTCCTGCAAAGAGGGAGACGACAATGTCACATTCGTCTCTCTAGTATAATGTTCGCTAACTAAACAATGCGAAATGATGATAAAGACAGATGTAGTATTAGTTATATACAAGTCTAGCTAGCTGCAGTGACTGCCTCAGTTAGATGTGTGAGGAAGAGAGAGTAAGATTACTAGTCTAGCCAGTTGTAGTGACTGCCTCAGTTGTCTGTCTTCAGGCAGAGCATCACTCATCAGGTAGTAGTCTTTGGATGGGCCTGGGTCTGCAGGGGTCAGAGGACACAAGTTGGGGAAATTCAGTAGGGAGGGGGTTAATTTGACGAGCTGACGATTTCAATGATGTAATCATTATTCAGTTCACTGTGCACCTGTAACAGCAACATTAGGCCACTATTTTTAGCCTCTACATCTTGTTTTACTCCAGCAAAATTACAGTAGGGTACATAATAGAGATGTAGCTTTTGCAACAAAGTTGTGGTAGTGAATTCTGCACCCGGGATTTGGAGCTCATCAAACAATTAACACCATTTTACATCATTGACGACTACTAGTGCATCATACCAGTTGGATGGGTGTTTGTCCTGATGACCGGACAGTATGTGGAGATGTTGGACCGTGTCAGTCTCTCTCTCCAGTACTGACAATAGCTGTGGAGAGAGGAGAAATGTGTACTGTTGTAAGGAGCATAGGACTGCGAGGACGAGGGTGGAGGTTGTGAGGCTGACCTGCGAAGACTAGCGATATACTCCACCTGGTGCACCACAATACAGTGATCATCTAGAAAGTGACAAAGTAAGGCATCCCGACCTCTCTCCCACCTCCCTCCCTCCTCCTCCTCCTCTCCCTCGCTCCCGCTCTCCCCGAAACATCGGTCACACAGTACACAGGGGAGAGGCAGATCACGTGATCTCCTCAGGAGGTGGCTCCGGTCTTCTCCGTGTGGCTCTGGAAACAGAAGCGGCTTTAGAGCGGCGCTGCGCAGGTGAGGGGCAGGCGGGAGCGGCCAGACGGGAGTGAATTCCCTGGCAGTGGGGTCGAGAAGAGGCCCAGTCGCTTCACATTCCTCCTCTGCAGACGTCGAGTTCTCCATATTGCAGTGTTTTCGATTTAGAGCGCACCAGGTCGTGTGGGCGGGGCTGAAAGCGATGCGCATCAATTAGAGTATTCTCCAGCGAGTGGAGAGAAATGACTCACATCTGCGGGGCTCTGGTGGTAGACAGCGCCAGACTGCTGCTGCCTTCTCTGATAGAGGCAGTAAAGTTCGTGGGAGGAGTCTTGTACGTCCCGCTGGCCGAGGTCTGCCTCATTCTCAATAAGATCACCTACAGCTAGTTTCCTCATATGGGGCCTGCCTTGCATGCGACTATATGGGAGACCCGTAGTTAGATCCTTTAACTACATGTCTGAAAGAAAAGAGGAAAAGGCTTTCCGTATATTGCAGGAAAGAGAAAGATCTTTGTTTTCTGTTGTATGCAGGCAATATATCATGATGACGTTTCTTCACGTGACCTATCACATGCTGCCCACACCATTCGTCAGGCTTACCACCACGTGGCGCAGACAAGCCCGAACCTTGACCTCCGATTCATTCTCCCCACTACACACCCTCACACCCTCTCCTCCGTCACAAAGTGGGTGTGGTCATGAGTCACCTGACATCATTCTCAGCTCTGGGGAAAACCCCCTCCTACAAACTGCTGAGTCAGCGAACATCGCTAAGCTCTGAAGACCTCGCACTCATGTTTCAACCCCTGTCATTAGTAGGAGATAATGAGGGGGTCGAATTTTCAACCCCCCTGCCCCCTCTCGCCAGCTACGACCATGTAGCTCTTGGGGGCACCTTTGATGTAATGCACACAGGACATCGACTACTGTTGACTGAGAGCCTGTTGTTGTCAAGGAGACGGCTCCTAGTGGGCATGGCAGACGGGCATCTATTGGAGTCGAAGATCCTGCCGGAGCTGATAGCTCCAGTGGAGGAGAGGGTGGAGGGAGTGAGGGCCTTTCTGGAGGACGTCAAATGTGACATACAGCATCAAGTGGTCAGTGAAACTGAATCTGCCACCTTTCTGTATACTGCCTCATTTTTTCTCTGATGGACTGCAGTGATGTGCACCAGGGCTCATGCATGTGTAGTGTTTAGTAGGCCCCTTTATAAGATCTGTTATGGTTCAATTAGGTTTGAACTGCACCATCCAACTATAGGCACAGTTTTTGAGGATGGTTTGTTGGCCTGGCCTGCTTTTCTTCTGCAATGGGGCCACCTTTTCCATGATGCATAATCGGAAGCCACACTATTTCACAATTTCAGGTGCCAATCACTGACGTTTATGGTCCAACTGCTTGGGACAGTGGGCTGCAGTGTTTGGTGGTTACCACAGATACAGCACGGGGAGGTCAGAAGGTCAATGAGGAGAGAAAGAGAAAGGTTAGCGGAGACGATACGACATCTGCAGACATCACAAAATTTCCAACTTCTGACGATAGGGTTTGCCCAACTTGCCATCCATATGGCTTCACTGGTGGGGCCAAAGGTCAGCTCAGGGGGTGTGGTCAATGAGGAAGAGAAGCTGAGTTCGTCTGACATGAGGAGATCTCTACTAGGAGAATATCAGACTCCACTGGTGAGGTCATGTGACCTCGTGTTGATGTCATGTGATCTGTCAGCAATACTCTATAGGTTGATGAGTGTGTGGAGTACGACCCTCAATTAGGGCCGTTTGTTATTGGTTTGACTGGTGCCATGGCAACGGGGAAGTCCACAGTTCTGGGTAGACTGGTGGAGAAAGGAGCCCACCCCATTGACTGTGATAAGGTTAGCAAATGTTTAGTTACCTGTCCTTATATGTACTACATAACAAAACTCAATTGACAGCAACTTTACAAAAATGGAGTCACTTTCTCATTAAATTTTAGTAACGGTTTGTGTGGTAAGTTGCCTCTGGATCTCATAAGCTAGAATGTATTGCTGGACGTGAGGAGTTCTAAGAGCTTTCAGCAGTTTCCTCCACGATGGATCAGTATCAATCTCCCTCCACTTGGTAAAAATTTTCTGAATAGCACCACCAACTGTTTTAGTGTCCGCATCAGTGGCCTCGAGATCCCCGTCAGGTATTCCCAGCTGAGTGCCAATGGCCTTCCACTTCTGAGGGATTCTGGAGCCACAGAGGTTCATGAGTTTTCGGAGGTCTGCTGGTTCATCTAGTGCCCGGTGATCCATGTCACTGTCTGTAATGGACCAACAATAACCAGGTGTTCAACATTCTAAAGCACCACTCACTCTCTAGTTCTTTGTTAATGCCTGTTCCAGTAACGGTGATATGCTGAGGATGTCTGGCTTGTATTGGCAATGGAGCAGTTTGTGTGGGAGTGGAGAGGACCAGGTTGTGTCTGGTCTTCACTCCCTGCAGCAGAAGGTTACACCTCAGCAGGCTGTGGGAGTGGGGAGAAGGACGAATGCTCAGGACGATGTGTGGAGGGTAGGTGCCATTGGCAAGTAGCTTCTCTTGCGTCTCAGAGTCAGTCTTTGGCAAGTCCACTTCGTCTCTTTCAATCTGGAAAGAGTAAACTGTACATTAGCAACATGATCTTTTATAGTATGTATTACTGTTGGTGGAGTGATGCTGAACTGGATACGATGGTTACGTGTGCTCTCATCATCAGGAATACCAACAGTCAGAGTGTTCCGGTAGTGGTCAAATGTGACACCAACCGAACTTGAAGTGAACGGTGCCTCAAACATTTCGTTAATGAGTTTCCTCAGTCCCTGCATTATTCTGACTAACTCCACACAGTGCACAATCTCACTTACTGTTGTCATGACAGCCAGAGACTTTGGGCAAAGGGCAAGCACTGCATTCCATTCTTTCGTGGCATTCTTGACATAAGATGGTGTGTACAGCACAGCTGTGTATTTCCCATCTGTAGAGAACGAAAATAGATTTGCAGACCCAGGTAGCTAGAGGTGAACTATACCACTTCCAGTCGGGGCCAATCTCTGTTGCTCCATCCTGGTCCCGTAGGTGTAGTGCTCTGCTCTCTAACTGTGCAACAGTCTCCTCTAGTCTTGAATTGGCCTCTTGACTTGCAGAAAGCTCTTTCTGCAGCTTTTTCTGCAACATTTTATTATGACAATTCTGTTAAGGGTATTATGGTCTAAACTTACCACAGCAGTCTCTGACTGAGGAATTGGTCGAGGAATTGGTCTTTTTCTTTCTTGCTGCACTGCCTGTTGCTGTGTAAACCTGTACTGCGCCTCTTGCAACTGTCGATCCTTCAGCTCAAGTTGCTCTGCTAGTTTCTGGTGTTCTAACTGTTGGTTTTCAACCTTTACTCTTAGAGCTTCAATCTCCTGTTCACTCCTTTGTGAACTTTTCTCTTCTCCTCTTCTCTCCTGTGCCCTGGGTTTCAAGCTCTCTTGGTACGTAGGCGCAGTTTTCAAAGTTTCTATTTGTTGGCATAAATGATTGGCTGATGGACGCTGAGCAGCTTTATCTTCCAAGCAATTGTTAGCGATTGGTAGCAGTGGATGGGAGCTGTTTATCATGCTGATGTGTTCGCGACGACGGTCTAGTTCAGGTACAGCTACTAGAAGCCGCCGTCCTTTCTCGAATCCAACATCTCGATGTGCGTCTGTAGGGTTTGGATACATTCTTGTCATCATGTGAACTAAGAGAACTCCCATTGAAAAGATATCCAACATTTCGCTGTACATGTAAGATTGAGCTTCTGGTGCCATGTAGGCTAAAGCTCCTGGGCACTGGGTCAGTCTGGATTTCCTATCTTGTAAAAGACTGGACATGCCAAAATCTCCAAGCTTGGCTTGCACTCTGCCCAAGAGAAGGACATTGTTACTGTTCACATCTCTGTGCATGATTTGATTACTGTGAATAAAAGCAATTGCCTTAGCTACATCATGGGAGAAGTTGACCTGCAGATGATAGGGAAATGGCTCTTCTCCTTCTAAAAACTTTGTTAAGTTGCAGTCCATTAGCTCCATCAAAAGTATTGGTAGTTGTGTCTGTGGGTCTGTGGTTCTACCAAGGTACTGGACAATGTTTGGGTGACGCAGTCTGCTCATGATTTGACACTCAGAGAGAAATTTTTTGTGAAGGCCAGCTGTACTAGGATCATTATCACGAAACAAAACAGGATGCAGGCTCTTGGCTGCACACACGAGGTTGTCTATCCTGGCATGAAATACTGTACCGTAAGCACCAGTGCCCACTACTTTATCTTTCATCAAGTGTATGTTCTTATATCCAAACTCCATCTTCTGTAGCTGTAAATTACACCAATGCAGCAGGTGATAAATGAAGTTAAACTGTACTTTAGACTCCATGCTAAGCCTTACCTTGGTTTTGATCTGGTCTTGGGGGAGAGAACAAGTTTACAGTCTACAGTCTATTCGCCAGTCACATGACCCGGAAGTCGTTGTGTAAACTGTTTACGTAGCCTCCACATACTTACTGGGATGACTTTAGTATATATATTGTAGTGTCTTGTCAATGAATGACGTAACCTTGTGTAATTACACATCTCCCCATTTTGTAGCTGGGTCACGAGACGTACCATGTGGGTGGACCTGCCTATGAGAGTATTGTCAGGGAGTTTGGGGAGGGGTGAGGGGAGAGGGAGGGGAGATCAGTCGCAGAGCCCTGGGAGCCATCGTCTTCAGCGACAAGGTCACTCACTCAGTCTTTGCTTGAGAATTTTGTTGTTGCACTTACTTGTTAGTGCACTTGTCTAATTTTCCATTACGTACAGTTATACTCTATTATATCTACTGCTGCAGGCCAAGCTGGACCAGTTGAACAGCATAGTGTGGCCTGAGATATGGAGACTGGTGGAGGTCAAGGTTCGGGAGGCAGTAGTCATGGTTACAGGGTGTGTGTGGTGGATGCAGCAGTCCTGGTGATGGCTGGCTGGCACCGCCGTGTCCATCAGGTTTGGACCACTCTCGCCCCACGCTCAGAGGTCAGGGTTCAGTGGGTGTGGTTTATTGACTGTTCTGGATGCATTACACAGCTACACTGCACGTCCCTGTGCTTGCATGCTTATATACAATAGATCCTTCTACCAGAAACTAGTCAACTGAAAATTTTTTTATGACTCTAGCTACACTGGTTTTGAGGATGCTTGTGTAATCAAAAGTTTTCATACCTCAAAATTTTACTAATGAAATGTTCATTGACTAACTATTGCTGGTATTTTTCTACCTCATAATTATACTGATGACGTATCATCTGCAGCTGGTTCGCAGGGTGATGGAGAGGAACAGTCTGCCGGAAGAAGAGGCTACTCAAAGATTGGCCGCTCAGCCAGAGAACAAGATGTATGTTGACCACGCCCACATCGTTATCGGGACACAGTGGGACCCGGAGGTCACCAGAGGTCAAGTCGAGAAGGCATGGCAGCAGGTTTTGAACAGAATTGATCAGAAAAATTAACGGGTTTTTTTCAATTGGTTGACCAAGGAACAAAATCATATTCGATTCACAAAACCAAATCATTTGCACACCAACATCAGTAGGCTATTACAAGAAGGCATGGAGTAGAAACGGAACTTTTGCATACTGCATCAAGTTAATATTTTTGTATATAGCAGTGTTAAAGATGGGTAAAGTTTCATTTTGATGTGATGTATTCAGAAATTAATTGATGTGAAAAAAGTGAAGGTGAAAGTGATGATTAGTTAGTTACTGGGCCTCGCGATGGGGTCGTCAAGGTCACTGAAGTATTCGTGTCTCATGGCGTCTTCCGCGGTGATGCGACCTTTTGGGTAGGAGACGAGATGTCTCCTCAGGAGATCGATGCCGGTGGGAGAGAGAGGAGGTACCACTGCCGAGAATGGGGCAGGAGGGTAGGGCGGAAACTCCTGCAGTGGGGAGAGGGTTGCTAAAATGAGGACACATTGTGTCACATTGCATGGTGTCAGGATTAAAGGTTCAACTCTAACAGTTTGAAGAACTGTTTTGTGAGGGATAAAAATGTTTCTGAAGGTTGTAATAGCAACAGAGCATGTGTGTACAAATGTATGATGTACCTTGTACTCAGGTAGTCGTACAATGTTTGGCCATGTTCTGTCGGTTGGCGTGCCGACCAGTTTGAAAATCCTCTTCAGCTGCTCGTCGACATCGCTGCCAGGGAACAGAGGCCTGCCACTGTTGGCCATCTCTAGTGGACGAGGTGATTTATTTCACAAATGTAGGGGCATTTATAACCTTGAAGTGATAGGGGGGAATTGGAATCTCAGGCATATCTATTGTACACACAGGATACCTCCTACATAATATGACTGAGGGAGCCTAGAGAGTAAAGCTCCATATATAGCTGACCTGCAAAAATGCACCCGGCAGACCATATGTCGATGGAGGTGGTGTAGACCTGAGCTCCCATCAGAACCTCTGGTGGTCGGTACCACAGAGTTACCACCTGTCAGATGAACCGATTAATGCAGCTCACACGGGGTTAAATGTAAATCACACACCTCCGCCGAGTATATCCTCACGGGAATGCCAAATGCTCTCGCTAGTCCGAAATCTGCTAATTTCAACTCTCCTTTCTGAAAAAAAGTGAGGAAAAAGCATCTAAAATTGCAATATCACACTTTTGTAAAGTATTACTGTGTATTTGGTGATAAAAGGGTTTTGGAAAATAAAATAAAAAAGGTTCCCATGCCGGGAATCGAACCCGGGCCGCCTGGGTGAAAGCCAGGAATCCTAACCACTAGACCACATGGGAGCACTGATAAGCTGGAGGCTAATAAGGCATTTATAAGGTAAGTGGCGTCCGCCCACCTTGCTAATGAGGATGTTCTGGGGCTTTAGGTCCCTGTGGAAGATGTTGTGCCTGTGGCAGTAGGCAAGGCCTCGCAACAGCTGGTAATAAAATGACTAGGGAGAAGGCAGATGGTTAAAGGAGTGACGAAAGTGCTGAGTTTATATACCTGCACTGTCTTTTGACTGATGACTGAGGCAAGGCTGTCGAAATACTTCTTCAAATCCTGTGACAAAGAATTCAGATAACAAGAGAGGGAGAGAGAGGGAGGGGCCTCACCTGATCGCAGTATTCAAAGACCATAGTTAGTCTGAGACTCCTGTGTAACACATCCAGCAATCTGGGGGAAGGAAAGATGGAGGGAGGGAGGGAAACAGAGCATCTGGTCAGGCACACAAGGATTTACCACACCTTGCAAGATTCTTATAAATTGTAGGTCAGAGATAGTTAGATTTGCGAATCTTACATAAGACTATTTTTTCTAAGAAACACCGTTTTCTTCCTGTTTTTCATAAATAGATTCCTGTTCCTAAGATTTGAGATACGATTTTTCCATAAGGGTGTCTGCTGATATAGTACATTGGGAAATGTCTTATACAAGCCTCAGTCATTCCTATGACAGAGGCTCAACCCAGGTCAATCCACATCAACTAGTGGATTGGGTCAATTCATTGAAAAGAATGTGGTTTCATAAAACAAGTGAGGAACATGCCACGGAGGCAGAGAGGGGTTTGAAGACCAGCGGGTCACCTGACAGTCACCTGACAATGTTCGGATGTTTCAATTCCTTCAGAAATGCATATCTCCCTCAGAGCAGCACTGGGTACACCCTGTAGGGGTCAGAGGTTAAACCTCGCGAGTGTATGAGAGGAAAAGGACCTCTGACCTCGTCGTCTTCGTCCAGTCGGACTATCTTGAGGGCCACAATGTCCCCGGTCTCTCTGTCTTTGGCCTTGAACACCGTCCCGTACGTTCCCTCTCCAATTTTCTCAACTCTCTCGTACCGCTGTGACGTCATCCTAGTCTACCATTAGATGACCCGTTTCTGAATCTTTTGCTTTTCGGACGCACAAATACACACCTGCTGTCCGGAAACGTACGAAGAACGATCGCCGGTTTGTTGGTGAGCTTTATTTGGAATCGACCATCTCCGACCTTTCACCTCTTCCACGCAGTGTTCTTCTTTGTCGTCGGTGGTTCTGGAGGATCTGGGAGCGGTCGAGTGGAGATGATGGAGTCAGGCGCGCGGCCGGCCACCAACGAGGGCATCCAGCAGTACTACCACACCAAGATCGACGAGCTTCAGGTGCGCCGCAATCTAGGGTGTGCTCTAATTAGAGCTGTGCGCCCTCCAGCTGGCAGTTGGGGAGAAGACGCAGAACGTGAGGAGACTCGAGGCGCAGAGAAATGAACTCAACGCTAAAGGTATACATACACCTTTTTCTTCATTGGAATGTGTGGAATTTTCGAATACTTGTAGTGATCAAAATATCAGCAACAGGGAACCTTGGCATTTCATTCAAAGGATGAGAAAGAGCCCTAAACCATGTAGCTGTACAGTTAGAAATGTGGCTGTTGTGGCATGCTGTTAGTGAGGTTCCAAATAGTAATTCATGACATGGTACTTCTCTCTCTCTCTCTCCTTCCCCTCCAGTTCGTCTCTTACATGAGGAGTTGCAGCTGCTACAGGAACAAGGCTCTCACGTTGGTGAGGTCATCAAACCCATGGACAAGAAGAAGGTGTTGGTCAAGGTGAGTTTGTTGCCATGACAATGTCCTTGTGGGCATGGCTGACTCCGCCCACCCAGGTACACCCAGAGGGTAAGTATGTGGTAGATCTGGACAAGGCGATAGAGATGAAGGACGTGCAACCAAACTGCCGCGTAGCACTAAAGAACGACAGCTACAAACTGCACAAGATTCTTCCAAATAAGGTCAGCTCCACGAAAGTCCCCCTTTCTCCATCTTCGGGAGATACGTTGTGTTTGTTCAAATCACAGTGTTACGTAACAATGTGCCTTTTGTGGTGGTGTGTTTATTCCTTTTGCTGCGTTTTGAAACTTCAGAGAGAAGTGAATTTCGTTGTTAATGAACTTCTGCCAAGTATTGTTTGAAAGGTTTTGGGTGGTACATTAATACTATGGGGCGAGAAATCCACTTCTCCACATAATTTTTTTTTGCTATAACTGCGAAGTTTTCATCCCACGAAAGTAGACTGCCACAAATACATAGTACCAGACAGTCAGTTGGTAATGGATACTGCCGTTCTCTTTACGTAATGTCTCGTTCTTCCTCCCCTCGCAGGTGGACCCCCTGGTGAGTCTGATGATGGTGGAGAAAGTTCCGGACTCCACCTACGACATGATCGGAGGACTCGACAAGCAGATCAAAGAGATAAAGGAGGTGATCGAGTTGCCAGTCAAACACCCGGAGTTGTTCGAGAGTCTCGGCATCGCACAGCCTAAGGTGGGCTTCATATCATAATGATTATAATAGTGTATAACTTTCTGGAAATTTGGTGTTCCTATAATGTCTGTGGCAGACAGACTGAAGAATGACCTGTTGAGTCCAGCAATTTACTGAATTCTTCTCACTTCCATCTTCTATCTCACTCCAGAAAATTGGGGCCTTTTCCACCTATCTCGCTCTAGTTTAACCCCTGGGCCTTCTGGTCATGATGGTTGATTATTTAACTCCTGAACTTCTTGTCGTGATAAATTTAACCCCTGAACTCCCAGGGGGTGTTGCTGTACGGGCCACCAGGGACGGGGAAGACCCTGCTCGCCAGAGCCGTCGCCCACCACACAGAGTGCTGCTTCATTAGAGTCTCGGGCTCCGAGCTCGTCCAGAAATACATCGGAGAGGGCTCCCGCATGGTGAGGGGTGTGGACAATGACATCGTGATGATGTAATGCTAATTTACAGGTGAGGGAGTTGTTTGTGATGGCACGAGAGCACGCCCCTTCAATTATATTCATGGACGAAATTGATTCTATTGGTTCCTCCCGTCTTGGGGGCGGGTCTGGAGGTAAGCCACGCCCATTACAGGCCACACCCACTACACCCGGCTCTCCCCCATCTCCCAGGAGACAGCGAGGTTCAGAGGACGATGTTGGAACTGCTGAATCAGCTGGACGGATTCGAATCCACACAGAACATCAAGGTCGTCATGGCAACAAACAGGATCGACATCCTTGACTCCGCCCTCCTCCGCCCAGGACGAATTGACCGAAAAATAGAGTTTCCACCTCCCAGTGAGGACGTAAGTGCCCAAACAGTAGCTGTGGATGAGACTAAGTCCATAAGCAATGTCTCCTCCAGGCCAGGCTGGACATTCTGAGAATTCACTCCAGGAAGATGAACCTCACTCGGGGCATCAACATGAGGAAGATAGCCGAGGTCATGCCGGGAGCCTCCGGCGCTGAGGTCAAGGTACGTGTGACAGCTGGCATAATGGATTACTGGCAGACAGTATGAGGGGAGTGAGCCTTCGTATGCCAGGAGAGTGTCAGCTACATACAACTGTTTTCCATATTTACTAGTACGAACAATCTTTGAAAGTTGTATTTACTGCTGTCTCCCTCCCTCGACTTCTGTGTTTCATGTACATCAGGTCTGTGAAGGTCTCCCTACGAAATGTATGATTTGCCATGTTCTTCTCTCTCTTCATTTTTCTCCCTCCCTCCCTGTGTCTCCCTCTCTGTCTGTCTGTCTGTCTCTGTGGTGGTCTCAGGGAGTATGTACTGAGGCGGGGATGTATGCTCTGAGAGAGAGGAGAGTGCACGTCACTCAGGAAGACTTCGAGATGGCCGTTGCCAAGGTAACCAATCATGCACACGACCATTTTTTTGACCTAGTGTGTAACAGTGAAAGGAAGTGCATGTTTCCATGGGTTTTGGTCTGTGAGAAAGAATAGGCATGAATGGTTTTCAAAACAGTGCCAATCTCTAAAACTTAGAACCTCAAAAACGTTGCTCCAATAATATTATCATTTCTTCCTTTCCACTGCCACAGATCATGCAGAAAGACTCGGAGAAAAACATGTCCATCAAGAAACTGTGGAAGTAGACTACAACTCTCACTTTCACTGTTGGACCATTATCACCTTAATCTAATTATTATATACACTCGTCTGATTAACAACATTCAATGTCTCAAAACAATACTTTACATATTTGAATATACAATTAATTGTACAAATACATCAAATAATAATAATTATGTCGTAATACAGGGAGAGCATGGACACTCTCCGTATTTCAATCTTCTGGTGTGTGTGGTGATTCAGTGTGATGGGTATAGAGTGTACTAGACGTGCAACACTGAAGATGATTGTAAGAAAAACTCCTAACATTGTAGTGTTCTTCACTGCAGCACTAACCCCAGCTGTGACACGGGAGGAAGAAGGGAGAAATAATGACACTACCTATTAAAACGACCTTCCATAAGTCTGCACACTACTTGGTATATATTCGTGAATCACGTGATTTCTTACTAATGATTGATGACAACTAAATCAAGTCCACATACATAGTAATCCCTGAACACACAATACCTTCTCAGGCGGTATCTCGGGGCAACGCCAGTTGTAGAGGTAGTAGTGAAGATTTCCGTCTCCGACTCCAAACTTGAGCTCCTCCAGGAACTGTTTGTTCTCCATCACATCCAGAGCATTGAACACGTCGAATCCTAGCTGCTCAGAGAGAGAGAGAGAGAGAGAGAGATAGAGAGAGAGAGAGAGAGAGAGAGACATGGGATAGAGAGAAGAGAGGATGAGACGAGAGCTAGATGAGGAGTGGATGGTGGGTTACAACTGCAGACATCCCCCGGATTTGGGGATGTGGCAGGATTATGAATATGGCGGCTAAACATAAATGTATGCATACTCTTTCTTCACATAATCTTCATGGTTAGCTTAAACCCTGGTTTCGGCATAAAACAAAGTTTGTATAAGAGTTGGGATAGTGAGTTAGGGGAATAGTTCGTGTATGGGCGTCGGATATCTCCTCTGACCTTCTTGGCTATGATGAGAGAGTCCTGCACGAGGTCCTTGAGTGGCGTCACCATGGCGACGTTGTAGAAGGAGTAGGCGACATGGAGTAATTGGTGGATGGGGTGTTTGACTATGGTGGACGGGAGGTGGTAGAATGAGAAGAAGTCAGTCACCTCATCTGTGTCCGGGTTCTGAGAGAGAGAGAGAGAGAGAGATTAAGTTTGCTGGCTTATGATTTTGAAACCAATCAATCAGACAGACATGCAAGAAACTGTTCTTGAGGAAAGATGGAGAGGTGCCCTCATTTCAGGGGTGCCATAGCATTTAGTAGAAAATTGTGAAGACATTAGCAAATTTGCATATTCCCCCAGCGCCAAATAAATTTTTTCCCCCATAAATGCCTCTTATGCCACAATCTTTGTGAAGTGAACTCAATTTTTCTGAGAAATGCCGTGTAAAAAGTGTTCCAGCTAGAAAAAAGCGGTTACCTCGACGACGTAAGTGGTGACGATGTCATCTCGCGGGAGTAGCCACCATTCCACCTCAGCAGCAGTCTTCAATACTGGGACCAGGTCAAACCTGTTTACATACCGGTTTAGCAGCCATAGTCCTGTACCTCAGGAACTGGTCAAACCTTTTTAGATACTGGTTTAGGAGCCGGAACACCACCGGAACATCGCTTCTCTCCATCACCCTCAGTCCCACTGTCTTCGTCTCCTGAATATATTATGACATCACTGGTTATGACATCATCGATTAAAACTAGGACATCAAACCATTGGTTAAACTGCCTAATTTTGGTGTTCCTATTCCTATCTTGCTCTACATCGCTGTACCTTCCCATTGTCCCCTTACAAAAGAGGTTTTAACGGTTTTGCATTTCTTTAAAGAACATGAGAGAAAGAAAAGACAATCCAACCATCCATATTAGTTTGACTATAGCTGGAGTATGGAATGGTAACATTCATATTGAGTTAACCCTCAACATCATCAATAAAAAGTATGACATCATATATTTCTCGTCACTCACGTCTGGGAGGCGGTAGAGTCTGATCATCCTTTGAAGAGTCATGTTTCTATGGATACTGGAAAACTGAACGTCCACCAGTTTCTTTGGGTTAATTGACCTGTGCCAATACCTGAAACCCCACCCACTTTAACATCGGAACATTACATCAACAGTGAAACCTCTGAATAAGATATGCATCCTTTTTAAAGAAATGTCCTTTTTTGGAAGTACTAATGTAGTAGTATGGGGCAAAACAAAGTGTCCTTTATTCAGAGGATTCCCTTATTGGGAGGTAATGTAATATTAGTATAGGGTGTGTCCTTTATTCAGAGGTTCATTCTTGTTGTACTGTACTTCTCACCGACAGACAGAGATTGGTTTAGGGAGCAGCACGCCGGCAGTGTAGACGGCCTGAAATATTCCCTCTCTGTTCACCCTCCGAGTAATCTCCTTAATCAGAACAGGGGCTACCCTCTTTGACCTCAACTTCTTGTGCACACACAGGAAATTGATCTCTACCATCAGCTGCTCACTAGAGAGAGGGTGGGCTGCAATTGGAACAGGTTGTCATGGGCAACAAGCCACACCCACTTACTGGTCTTTGATCCTGACGTGTGCCGGGACAGCGCTGATGAACCCCACCAGTTTTCTATTGGAGCACACCCTAATCCCGCAGTGCCACACCTTCTTCCAGCCGGGTGGTTGGAGAGCCCAGCACAGGAACCTCTTGCTGTAGTCAAACCTGACGACATCATCATGACATCGTTATCAAAATGGTAAGAAAAATCAATATTAACAGCACAGAAAGAAAGTAAGTGAGTCCACCTAAAATAAAACTGTGATATTTGCATTTTGCAACACATTGGACATGGTTTATGCAATATATACTAACATCACCAAGGAGACAAGGATCACCTGAACATGTTGTCTTCATCCTCGACGTAGTTCTCGTTGAGGAGACAGTAGAGTTCTCCAATCTGAGCATCGTCATTGAGGTCCAACTCATCCCAGATGAACTTGTCTGACAGAGAATAAGGCTCCTCTCTCACCTCAGACTTGTCTGGTTCAAGTGGACCAGACTCATCGACCTTGTCCTCTGGTGTGTGTGTGTGTGAGTGGAGGGTGTGTGTGTGTGTGAGTGGAGGGGGTGGTAATGGCCATTTAGGGTTTACACACTGGCAAAAGATAAATTTCTCACAACAGAAAATTTGCTCAAAGCCACCTAAAATTTAGAGCCTTTTTGTTGAAATTGTGCTTTATTTGAGCAGTGCAAAATCGCATGTGATTATCACACATATCCAGGTATTGTAGTGAGAGTAGGAGAAATGTCTATGAGCATATCAGCTATATACAGAGGTAGCTGGAAGAGGTGAGAGGTCAAACCTAGCTTGGGAACGGGCTGGGTGTCCCAGAACTGATGTGGCTTCGTCCGTTCGTCCACCGACAGCTTGTGCAGGAGCTCCTGCAGGTTCTTGGAGGAGACCTTTGGTACAGAGGTCACCGGGACAGCAGTCCTGGCGGGGAGAACAGGTCCGGTGTCCTCCGCCGTGGGTGCCACGGCAACCGCTCCGGGCTCGCCCCGTTTCTTCCCTCTCCTCTTCTGTTGAGTCAGAGTGAGACAGGTTCAAACACCTCCACACACAATCCAAATTTGTTACATCAGATTAAAGTCTCGTGCCCCTCTCAAGCATCTTACAACAGGGCATGCAGCAATAGTAGCGTCTTCTCTTATACTTTGATGGCATGAGACTTTTAGCACAAGCAATGCACCGTGTAACGTCGTCTTATAGCTCAACCGGCGTTCGCACTGTTGTCCAGACCTTTTTCCCAGCTTTAGATTTGCCGGTCTCCCCGGGCGAAGCTCCCCTCTCCTCCTCCTCCCCCGGGACAGACAGCTCCTCTCCACCTTCTGCCATCGAACGTGTGGCCCACTCTTCGTTAGGGTTAAATTGCAAATTACGTCACAATAATTTTAAAGTGGGCGCGTAACAGCACCTCTCGGCGGCAGCGGAGATGTCAGGAGGCGTTCGGCTGACTGCTATCGACAGGAAAAATATCCTGAAAGCTGCTGAGCAGCTGTGCAAGTCTGTGCACTGTGAGTTCGAGTTCGGCCAATTTAGACACTCGAAGCCCTCGCGTGCGAGAGATTTTGGGCATGGTGTATCGGTTGCCGTAGCGACAATTTGAGCCCCGCCCACTCTACTAATACTACCTCTATCTTTCTCCCCTGCCAGTCAGCCAGTCTGAGGTGGTGCAGCTGCTGATGAAATATCACGAGATGACAAGTGACCGAATTGACAGAGTCAAGTTCAGAGATTTACTGCACGACCATTTTGACATGAGCGATGACTTCTTTATGGACAGAGGTCTCTCTCTCTTACCCTCTCTCCTTCTTCTCCCTCTCTCTCTCTCATATCACTCCTTCTTCTCTCTCTCCCTGCTGTCTTCTAACCTCCTTGTGTTCCTGTCTCCAGTGTTCCGAGCATTCGACAAAGACAGCGACAGTTTTCTGTCTCAGGAGGAGTGGGTCAGGGGAATGTCCATCTTCCTCAGAGGCTCTCTCGAGGAGAAGATTGAATGTAGGTTTTTTAAAACAATATTGTAGGCAATCATTTTGACAGTTAAACCTCAGAAAAAGGACCACCTATGATATCTGTAAAGAACACTTTTGTTCTGCCTCATACATTAGTACATAGCTATTATCTCTCAATAACACGAGGTGTCCTTTATTCAGAGGTTTCAGTATTACTTAGCACATAATTATTTCTAGCAAGCTACTCTCCCGCTGTTTGTGTCAATAGATTGTTTCAACATCTATGACCTGAACAATGATGGCTACATCAGTAGAGAGGAGATGTTCCAGATGCTGAAGACGACAGTGCGACCCACAGGAGAAGAAGAACTGGAGGACTATGTCAAGGATCTGGTGGAGATCACCATCAAGATGATGGTCAGTTGGTCCCTGTGTTTTGGATGCTATATAAGAAGCAAGACCACCTAGTTGTCTGAATTGCGTAATTGATGTAGACTGACTGTCCAAATGCCATTTAATTTTGCACTTGTGTTCACTTGCCGAGGGGTGCATTTGTTCAAGTACATGGGGATGGAAGTATGGGAATAGGAGTATGGGGATGGGAGTATGGGAATGGGGGGGTGGGAGTATGGGAATGGGAGTATGGGGAATGTGTGTCTGTGCACAGGACCAGGACAAGGATTCCAAGCTGTCACTGGAAGATTACAGAACTGCAGTGCAGAAAGAGCGACTGCTGATTGAGGCATTCGGCCCTTGTCTTCCTCCCCGACAGAAACTTGAGGAGTTCTCTGACTCTCTGTTTAACTCCTCCACCACCACCTCACTCCCCTAGCTCTGTCACATGATAGTCACATGATCTTCCTCTCTCTGTATCCTGTGCCATTGTACAATACAATGATGTCTTCACATTATGAGCAGAAAACAACTGGTTAACATGTAAACAAGGAACATGTCGAAACAATGGTTGACTTGTGTCTGGCATACCTTCCTCCCTATCTCCTCACTAGCTCTCCCTCTCTTGCTGGCAGTTTAAAGCTAGCTAGTACTAGAATATCTGGTAGGAATTGACTGATAGTTACACTAGACTAACTGGTGCTGCTGGTGGGAATTGACTGTCTCTAGCCCGCGGTGGAGTAGAATAGGTGGACAGATAGGGAGGCATTGACTATTAGGTCAGTCACTGCTGCAATAGTTGATAGTGAGGTATATATAGCTTGTGGTGTGGATATACAACAAGCTTCAAGACGCCAGGACACAGAGAGAGCCAGGGAAAAGAAGTGTCAACTAGCAACTGAAACTTGTGTCAAGAAGCTGGTGGTGTGAGGTGGTGATGGGCTGGTCTTCAAGACAAGTCTGGGGCTTTACCACCCTGATGCTGGGGGTCGTCGTCATGGCGATCGTTTCTATGGTAACACTGGTTCTGTTGCTGATAATGGATGGTCCTCCGGAGGGGCAACCCCTGCTGATTGGTAAGCTAATGAAATGAATCCATTTTATTACATCATTATTTATTTTTACACCTGCAGCCACACCCACAAACACACCCCCAACTGATGAAGGTATGAACTTTAAACATATTATTTGTAATTAGCAAGTGAATGATGTACAGACTGCTTTACTAACGAAATACTTTGTGTATTCTATATACTTTACACATGATACTGCTTCCAATTAGTACTAGGGAATTTGCATTTACATACATAATAAGGTAATAGACATGTGTACATAAGTCATGATATGAACCAGAACACAGAAAGATACTGCAACTTGACGAGCAAATATCATTGTAAAAACTTAATGCCTAGTGCAACAATTACTGCGTCATGTACTTACCATATTCTCTACCGCCAGCCCCGCCCCTTCTCACTTCATGTAATGAGACTCCATCAGATGCTCTCATATTTCTCCCTCAATCCTGTGCCATTGTCACCCATCCCTCCTCTCCCTCCTCTACCTTCCCCAATGTTGAATTCCTCCCTCACTACAACATGAGGCGTTGCTCAAACCAAAGGTGCCATGGCAACAGTTGCCAAGGTAACCGATGTTGTTGCCATGTAGTTCAAACTTCATCTCTGGCCTACTATTGTCCTAACGAGAGGAGCGTCCTCGTTGAAAATATCGTTGAGAAATGCGGCTGTGTTCCCTGTATCCATGTGCCAGTGGTGTTTGTTGGCATGGTAACAAACACTGACAACGAGTCCATCCCTATGGCAACAGTCAAGGTCAACAACACCGACTATCAGACTAACGAGAATGGTATGTTTGGATTCTCTGTCTCCTCTCTTCAAGAGGAAGTCGTCATGGACGTAGTTGCCACGGGTTACTGGGATTACAAGCGGTTGCTAAGGGTGTTGCCGGGCAAGGTCAACATACTGCAGGTACGGCTGATGAAGAAGATTATAAGGAAAATCCCCGCAACACCTCACTCGGTGATCATCAGTACTCTCGATTTCCAATTATTGGACTCTAACCTCACCTCAGTGAGCAGAGTCAGGGTGGAAACAGTCGTGCAGTTCCCGAGAGGTGTGTTCCGGCAGGGAGCCACTCTGATTGGTCAGCCTGTTGCCATGGGAAACAAGGCGAGTCTGGAAGGTCTTGGCATGTCATTCATCACTGGAGCTCAGTCAGAAGGGGAGAGGAGGAGGAAGAGGGAGGGAGGGGAGGGGAGAGTGGTGTTTGTGGTGAGTGTGGGAATGTTCAATGTGGAGGGGGAGGGAGGGAGAGAAACTGGCCAGTGAAATCTCAGGTCTCGTCTCCCACACTCTCTTCCCTCCCGCCACCCACAACTGCACTCACCTGGCCTCCCTACAGCTCTATCTCATGTCTGGCTCCGTCCTCCTACCCGTCGCCAATGGCAACATCACCTGCAGTGAGAGCGAGACTCAAATCCGTCTCACCATTCCCCTCCCTGACTCAGTGCCCCTACCAATTAACCTCGTTGTCGGCTCTCCTTCACTGGAGACTTGCTACATAGCTGTCAGAGCATTTGAGAACATGTCCTCATCCGCAGGAGCTCAGGGGTTAAACGAGATCCTCTCGACCCAAGTTTGGGTGCATACAGAACTTCCAGGACCTCCGAGAGTGGTCAATGTCATGACTGGTGTGACGCGAGACTGCGTCCCCATTCCATGCCACGGAAAAATGGTGGTACGGATCCTGGACGGACTGCAGTACTCTCCCGACAGCTACACAGCTCACCTGGATGATGATGTCATAATGACAAGCGATGATGCCGCCACCGAGGCGGAGGTGTACCGCAGTATGTCAGGGTGTGAGGAGAATGCTCTAATACCTGGTGCCGAAATCTATACGTAAGTTTTTCTCTTTTCAACTCTTATGATTTGCAGGTAAATGTCTGTTTTAGGTTAGGGTCTCAAAAGATTCAGATTGTCGACAAATTGATAATAACATTTTCTTTTTCTGCAGTTACTTTCGCTTCATTGTGAAATCACAGCAACCAACTATACCGACTCCAAATAATGCCAACCTGACCACACCCCCATTCTGCAGTTTAAAAGTGGGTGTGACATTCTCAGGGGGCATGGTGCGTGTGTTTGTGACGGCGACGTCAGAAATGGGTGAGGGGGTGAGAATGGTGAGGGTGGAGAGGGTGGGAGAAGAGGGAGGAGGGGAAGAGGAAGGGTCAGGGATGTGCCAAGACTGCGGGAACAAAGAAGAACTCTCTACTACCTGCCTCCAGGTGTCATGTGATCATCAGGTGACCTGTTACTAACATCTGATTTTTCTTCTCCCCCTGTTTCTACACAAACATTCCTGGTAGTAGGAGTGTACCTCGAAAGCCATTGTGCAACTTAGTTTGTTATTGTTGTTGTTGTTGTCATGGCTACAGATTGAGGTGGGTGTGTCCAGAGTGGACGGAGAGGGAGTGTGTGTGCCGCAGCCAAAGGGAGGAGGGGAGGGAGTGAGGGTTGAAGACAACAAGTTGCTAGTGGACCCAATAGATCAGGTGACTGGCCTGGTCGTTGATTACAGTTCAAATCCCAGCGTTGCCATGGAGATGTGTAAACTGATGATTACCAACACTAGCATTTGGTTTAACTGTCAACCATGATGTTCTACGAACCAACACTGAACATACTAACTGGGGGCAGCTCGTTGTCTTCTCAACTCATTCATGGATGTCAATGTTTCAGATGTGTGTGTGATTTTGTAAAACACGAAAATTGGAAGATCTATATATAATATGCGATTTTTTTGCACCATCACTGAAAAGGTGTGGTTTATCAGTTGTGATTTACCCTCGGCGCGCATGCGCAGCGAGGGTACTGTAGTTGGGTTTGTCTGTCTGTGCTGTGTGTCTGTTACTCTCAATCTCACTTCTTGAATGTCTGCTCGTCTCACAAACGATACAACCTACTTAACGGGCAATGAAGGTCAGAAATTTCGAACGGTTTTCTCTGAAAATGCTCCGTTGCTAAGCTAGAGCGCTTCCAGCATTGTAAGGCAAATGCCGGTAGTCGCCATTTTATCGCTGGCGGTTAAAGCGCATGCGCTTATATTTAGCACAGGCTTACCTACCTCGACCGGGTCCGCTTGCTCTGTCTATCTTGAAGGCACAAGAAGTCACAACGAATGGCGTGTATCGACTATCGCGTGCTATCTACAACTGTAGCTAGCCCGTGTCAGACTCTCTGCGAGCTACTTCGTCGAGGGTTTGCACTTTAGTGGTTTTCATTTACGTCATCTGGAGAGATGGCTGGCCCAGGTTTTTTTGCACAAGTAATTCGGCACTGCACAGCATCCATAGATGTCTGTCTGAGGAGATGGAGGGCTGGCCATTTTTTTCCTTTTTTCTTTAAGGTCTGGACAGATGTAAATAGGGCTGGCTGGAGAGATGAAGGGCTGGGCGTTTTTTTCCTCAACCTAGTTTTTTTTGCACTAAACAATCCACGGGTAATACGAAAATTAATAGAGAGATAAAAGGTTGGCAATTTTTACCCTCAAACAGAAATTGGGCTGGGCATTTTTTCATGGAAATGGTGCATAACATGCTGTTCTTTTTGATGCATGGTCAAGACCATCAATTGTGGTGGTGGCACACTTGTGTATGGGTTCCACATTTCTATATAGTGTGCCGAGGGTTTGCCACTTTAGCTGCTTTCATTGGACGACTGTGTACTGTGAAACAAACATCTGTGTCGCTGCAAAATTCTCATTGCAAAGCCGCATGTATATACACTCTCCTATATTCCAGTATAAATTATGGACAATGGTGGGTAAGTGTCATTTTAGTTTGTCTGCGTTTCTAGTCCATCTGCTCTTGCGTTGCTTCTTGACATGGGGGTGGGGCAGTAGCGGGTCATCTGAGATTGGTGGGCGGGCCAGATGAAAGTGGGTGGAGTCACAGAGGATAGGTGGGCGGGTCCTGAAGACGGGGTGGGGCCGAGAGAGAGGCAAGTGGAGAGGATGAGAGAAGGGGAACCAGTTGTAAACCTGCTGCGGTTTCATGGGCCTGAGAGGGGAGAAAGCCAAAGGGACTGGGATTTTTGCGAACACACAAGGAAAAAAACAAACTACGGCAGGTACGTAGAATTAATTAGCAGACAGGAGCAGGTGGTATTGTGTCAGCACACTCAAACAGCCGCAGAGATAGTAAGGGTTGCTGACCTTCATGGCTTCCTTCAACATGCGTTTCTGCTCTTATCCAGAGGCGTCCACAGTAGGAGGAGGATGGGAGGAGTTGGAGCACTGGCGACTGTGGACAAGGTCTGGAGAGAGAGGGCGTGTCATTCCATCTCGCTCATTCTAATTATTACGTGGAAAACGGTGTGCTCA